AAGGTTCATTAGTTAACTACTTTAGTTAATGAACTAAGAATGAACAATAGTTCTTCAGTATTTACTAATCTTAGTTCATGTTAATTTCAACATAGCGTCACTGAAGGTAGCATTATTTTACCAGCGTAGCGCGTTATTTGAGCAGACTTTGCTTTTCCGGTGAGCATGAGTGGTACACGAGCGGAACGCACATTCATAGATCGGAATATTGAGCGGAGCGTCAAACCGCTGAACACTGCCGGGCGGGGCGCGATGCGGAGCGCCATATATATATTATTATTATTATTAATATTATATGTAGCTTATATTTTCGGTGCATCCCTACTTGCATCCCCTCCTTGTTTACAAATCCAAACTAAGTCCATACATCCGATTTAAAAGCGGACGGGGCTTTCCTGATAACTTTCCGCGATGCAGCCCTCTTTATTTTACTAACTTACTGCATGCTGAAGGTGACCCAGCTGACCTCACCAGAAAAAAACTCAACACCACAATCTAGTGGAGTATAATAAAAGATCGATACTTGGCATCCGTGTATCGATACAGTATTGCTGCGGAAAATATCGCGATACTATGCTGTATCCATTTTTCCCCCACCCCTAACCAGCACCAAATCAGCACTAACCAGTATGGACATTTATGCAGGTCTAAGCTGATGTTTTCTGCAGGGTATAGTTCTGGAATGAAGATTGTATTGTTTGGTTTCTCTCATTGCTGAGGAAAGCATTCTAGCCAAACTCCACCCTGGATTTACAAGCCTCTTGAGACTGTGAGAATTCTCCACACATAGTTGAAACCTGAAAAAGGACCCTGGTGGTACCTGATAAAAAATACAACAACAGGAAATGACATTCCGTATAGGATGAAAACCCCACCAAAACTCAACAAACTCCAGGTGTAGCATCACGGGTTGTAAACTGTATCTACTGTTTGTGCTTATCACTCATAATGTTGGCCAGTACTGAAGCCAATTAAAATAAATTATTTGTTCTTTTGTCATCATTGCATATCATTGCAATTGGAATGGTGATTATTTTGTTTTATGAGGCTTTACTGCAAAGCTTTTACTATTTAAGCTGCCTGTTTTCTATGTGACTCCATTGCAAATATACTATGCTGTGAGACTCCATAATGCTGGCTTGCTAATGTGTCTGGTTCCATCTATATTTCTTCACACTGACAGGAAACCTGTGAAACTCTCACACGCTCTCTGTCTGAGTCATGATGATGAATCTGTGAACTGGCAGCACGACTACAAGCCCTCTTGTGTCTTTCACTCTAAGGACATTGCCTTGAGGTAATTCAGACAAATATGTTAGTTTTAAAAGATACAGATGAGGGTGAGACTAATGCTACAGTAGAGCAGTTGTTTTCTCAATATCTCTGGCTCTATATATATATAACATAAATGTATGTGTTGAGGTTATGAAAAATTAATCATCTGTCAGAAAATGTAAACTTTTATCAATACATATTATTTCCACATGATTAAAAATGTATTTAATTGTAAACCTGCAATAATTAAATGTGTTAAATAACACAAATATTCTTTATGTAATTAATCCCATTTTATTAACCAATGTCTGTGCCGCTGACCTTTGATGATCCAATTCAAACACACTAATAAGCAAAATTATTTTAGATAAACATAACATTTGTGGGGTTTTTTATTGCTGAAGAGTGTTGAGCTTTCTTCTCCTGCATCCTATTCTTCATGCAGCCCAGAATGGCTTTGTTTGGTTTCTTTGAGCTGCGTCCTCTTCTGTACAGACGTGAATTTACATTTCCTTCAGCCTGAGGCTTATTCATTTCACTTTTGGTGTAAAAGGGCTTTTACATTTGCCAAAAATATAACTTTTTTTCTATTAAAAACAAACAAGTAAGCCCAGTAACTAAGTAACATACTTAATATTTACTTTTTTTTAGGAGTAACACACTAATGTAATGCATTACTTTTAAAAGTAACTTTCCCCAACACTGCTCATCAGACTAACAAAATGCCAACTTCTGAGCCATCTAGTGTTAGTTAAGATTAAGGTTGTTAGTGTAAGGTTGCTGCTGTTCTGCTGTTCCATTCCGGTTAAAATGCTGTTTATTTTGCCAGTGTAAAATATAGACAGCTCACTAGGTTTTGGACACCTCATCTCATTAGTGGCTGTTCTAGACAGATTTTTAGGGATCTGGTGTAGACTCGTATGAATAATGAATAGTTAAAAGTAGGGCTGCACGATTAATCGAATGCGATTGTAATGCACATTTTGTTTAAAAAGCCGGTTCTCACGTGCTTTCCCAGGAAATCATCATCACGTGCTTTCAGATGGAGCAGTATTTACTACACATAGCCGTAGTTCACTGACAAGTTACGCAAAAAAATCGCAGACGATTTTATTGCGCGATTCTGAAATCGAAGAAATCGTTCGCGATAATGACAGCTGTTTGCATAGCTTCTCAGTGAACTACGGCTCTGTGAAGTAAATGCTGCTCCATCTGAAAGCATGTGAAAATACCACATTTAATAACATATTTTTACTCCAAACTCACTTCATAACGTCAGTCGAGTGTTTGAAATAAATCCTTCTGTGAGATGATGTGGCTTCTTACACAGAATAAGGCACGCAACATATTTCATAGTATTTAAGCAGTGATAAAGGCATTGCATTATAAATATACTTTATTTTAATGAAAATTATAATAATAAGAACTCAGATAAACCGTATATTGCCGTAGTCGTGTGTTTATTAGTTACGTTGAATCAATGAAAGCAGTTGAATCTTCTGTTTATTCAGCTGCAGCGATTTTTCTGGGTTTCTTCTGCGAGGCGTATTTGGAGTTTCAGCGCGAGAGCGCCCTCTGGCCTTTGGATGGAGATTTACTGCTGATCACAGAACAGTGCTTCACTGAAAGATACGCATGACAATCGCAGCTTCTGTCGAATCGCGATCTCGATTCCATTTCGATTTATCGTGCAGCCCTAGTTAAAAGATGAATTTATAGTTTCGTCACTGAAATTTCAGACAGTTTGACTTTTTTTTGCAGCACATACATCTGCCTATAGGGGCAATTTAGGAAAGATGGTTGTATTTATAGTACATATAGGGTTATGTTCTAAAGAATGCCATTTCAATTCTACATCCCATTTTTGAGTATGAAGAGTGAGTTAAATATGAGGTTAAACAGACAGAGACTGAAACTTTTGTCGTTTACAGATTTCATGATGCAAAAGTCAGTGTACACCAACATACTGTACAACTTATATACGGTATTAATTATTAATTATAACCCTAACCCTAACCCTAACTTATATAAAGTATTAATTTTTGCTTACATAATCTTTGGTGTATTTTTGAGAGGAGTCGCGAGGAGCTTTGTTAGGAGTGTGCAGAAATTTGTTGTGCCAATTACTCTCTCTTTCTAAGGTTTATTGTCATATGCACTTAAATATTGTCACCATACCTAGGTTAACAAGTTTTACTTTTGTATATAAAATAATCTTGCAATATCTTGCAAATTGAACTGATACCATAGCATATCGCTGATGCAAGATGCATACTAACCACCAATACCCTTGAATGAATGAGATAGATGATGCAAGGTTTGACTGTGGCCCAGTTACGGAAATTACAAGGATTTTCTGGGTTGTGCTGGCAGCGGTACAGAACAGACTCCTGTCCTGCTGTCACAGACACGCAGACGCTGCGACCACGACTCTCTGGAACAAATCACTGACTGCACTGACTGATGTCTGCTCTGAGTGCTCTCTTTCTCTCTCATGCGTTTGTCTTTTCTTTCTGTTTCCTATACACCCATATTTTACATTAATGTTTGCACAGTTTATCGCAGCTGTTGCTGTTGACACTTGTGCTTTCAGATACTTCCTGTTGTTGTAGCCAATGTAAAACATACAATCTATTCCCAGACAGTTATAGTGATGCTTGCAAGATGCAGGAGAGAGTGTGTTAGTATAAGATTTAGTGTGCAAGAATTTTGTTTTATTTTATCTACTATTTTAATGTTATAATCATATTTAATATAATATTTACATTTTATTATATATATATACACACACACACACATA